ATGGCAAAACTTAAGCACACCTACATGGCTTTATTTCTGCTCACCTACATGGCAAAACTTAAGCACACCTACATGGCTTTATTTCTGCTCACCTACATGGCAAAACTTAAGCACACCTACATGGCTTTATTTCTGCTCACCTACATGGCAAAACTTAAGCACACCTACATGGCTTTATTTCTGCTCACCTACATGGCAAAACTTAAGCACACCTACATGGCTTTATTTCTGCTCACCTACATGGCAAAACTTAAGCACACCTACATGGCTTTATTTCTGCTCACCTACATGGCAAAACTTAAGCACACCTACATGGCTTTATTTCTGCTCACCTACATGGCAAAACTTAAGCACACCTACATGGCTTTATTTCTGCTCACCTACATGGCAAAACTTAAGCACACCTACATGGCTTTATTTCTGCTCACCTACATGGCAAAACTTAAGCACACCTACATGGCTTTATTTCTGCTCACCTACATGGCAAAACTTAAGCACACCTACATGGCTTTATTTCTGCTCACCTACATGGCAAAACTTAAGCACACCTACATGGCTTAATTTCATCACACATACATGGCTTGATCACAGCACACCTACATGGCTTGATCACAACACACATATGTAACATAACTTCAGCACAACTACATGGCAAAACACAAGCACACCTACATGGCTTGATCACAGTAATAATCATAACAAAGAAAAATACTTACAGTTTCGCCGAGACATGGTTGACGGTCTATCCCACTTCTGAATTGTAATAAAAATACCTTCCTTTTCTAATCACCAATTTATTTCTCCTCGATTTCTATTGTTCAGTTTAACAAATATCTCAATCACAATTACAATTATACAACCAGGTAACGTCAGTACAGCTAACTAATACTCAACTGCGCTCCCTTGCGTCCGAACAACGACTGCCTTAATATATTAACATATTCTAATCAAAATGACATTTACCCACTCCACCCAGTATTAACGGCGTTGCGTCATATCCGCCATTTTATAGGTTTTAAATGTAGATATTACAATTACTTAACAATCTCATTATTTTTAATACTTTGATAGAATTACAATACAAAATATATATGCATACTTAATTTCTTTAGTTTTCGTTCAATGTTTTTGAATAATTAGAAGCAATCACAACATAATGGAGTTAGAAACTAATAATTCTTTATCATGTCACCACTTCTGACCCTACCTCCGATTCCGATTCCGACTCCGGTTTTATCGGAACCGAAAAATTACTTCCGTTACGTCCCTAGTAATACTAGTTGAAGTTTTTAACCTATCAGGTATCAACCTAAATTGACATATTAACGTAGGTATTAGCACATTACTGCTGGACGCTGTACATTGTATGTATGCTCCTTTACCTCCCCTGTTGCTGTTTGGTTATGTGTCCAATACCCATTACAATATATACTATGTATACGTTAAGTTTAGACTTTTAACTAATATTTAAGAGCTTTACAAATGTTTGTGCAGCACTCAGACAGTTTATTTCTATTTCCTGTGCAACGGGAATCGGGTGACTTATCTCCAAGTCCGCAAGATTGCACCAGTTATGTGTAAATTGTTTAAAAAGATATTATAGAAAAAAGTTGTTATTGTAGTTCATTATTATCTTTTTCAGAGAATCTTCGTCCACGAAAACAATGGCGCAATCAAATAATAAGATAAAGTATCCCATTAGCAGACGTATCCCTTACTATTTTGGTTCCTATTCAAACAGCATCAATTCTATTAAAAATATCATATTGCTTTTACAAACACAGTCACAGTTACTCTAAAATTGTAGTACAATATTTGAAAACTTTACATTTAGGTACAATCATAAACTTACCATACCCATTTCATCCAACTAGGAACGTCCAGGCTTTAGAAATTGTGAGCAAACACGAGCTCTGCTCAAAGGCTTTACTCTGCATACACTGCGTCGAGCGCTCGTTCTTTATTACACACATAAGCTTATTGAACGAAGACTTTATCCTAATATAAATAAAATTAAAAATTGAACGCTCTGAGTAGATTTCTACTCGTTCTTTCATTTCATGTTTTTCGTTATCTATTAATGGCCTATTTCGCAATGTCTAGATAGCCAGTATTTGCCAGATTTTGAATATAGAACACAATTTGTATAAACTACAGACCAGTTGAAAAAACAGCGGAAAAATAAAAAAATCTCTTGAAACAATAACTGTGGCACATAGCTACTATAGATTTACACGCAGAACACACACATTGACACGAAGGACATCTGTCTCGGTAGTCATTTTACACTTCGTATATAACGGTTTTTCAAGTACACACATCACACATATTCACACACACATCAACAGCCTCTAAATGCCCACTGCTGAGCAAAGCCTCTTCTCACATGGAGAAGGTTTGAGCATTAATCACCACGCTTGCTCAATGCGGGTTGACGATTTCAAACTTATAATCAGAATTTATAAGCTTAGGTTTCCTCATGATGTTTTCCTTCATCGTATGTCAGTGGTGTCTAAATAGTCTTAGAAAGTGCATCTAGCTCAGAAAAAGCCTCATTGGTACAAGTACGGCAAGCCTTTGGTAGATTTCAAATCTGCACTCCCATGCACGAAAAGGTGGCGTCTTAAACCTCTAGGCCACCACGACATACAAGTTGCATTTGCAACTTGTCAATGAAATGAAAATGTCAGTGGTATATTTATGTATGCGTGTAAGTACACGCATACATAAATATACCACTGACATTTTGGTGCTTCACTCATTCTTAAGTGACATTACGTCAGCCATTTTTCAATGCCCTTACCAAATACATTTATCGGGTACTTACATCAGGATGAAACAGGCCATATTCCATTAACTTGAAAATATGAGAAATAAAATATAAAAATATATTCTTCTCATCAAACATACTATCGCAAACTTACCATTGAACCCTTTTAACCGTCTAACCGCCATCAAACCGCATGTTTAAACTCTGTTCCACAAAATGGTTGACGTTGGTCCCTTTTGGGCGCCAACAAGTTCATAATTGGTCCTAGCGGTGTAGTTCCGGGTCGGAAGGGGAACATGATGACAAAACTTGTTAATGCCACTTCAAAAGTCTTGTTAAAGTAAAAAATATCTCATTTAGATAATCGAATGGTAGGTTTTTTGTAATAAGAGCTTTGAATAGGTGTCTTAGAAGGCTCAGTAATACAACTGTTGTGGAGTCTTTGTCTCTACAATATAAATATATTTGTGAAAATATACTAAATGCGAACATATAGAATGTTATATTCCTACACAAACGTCATGTCGTAAATACTCAAGCACACAGCCGCCTGTTATTACTGAATTTATGATCTGAGATATAAATTAATACTACTATTGACTTCAATTTCTAAGACGCCACATGTTCCTGACACTTCAAAGTTCGTAGTTTCGTAAAACATGTGAACTATAAATCTAAAAACTATTAAACATTTTATCGCCTTATAAGAACTTGCACGGAACATAAACTAAGGATCTGTAGCAAGGATAAATCACAGCCATTCGGTCCAAGGATACGACACGTCAACAATCGTTTACGTCCACAATAAAACGTCTATAAGTGTTTCATACACTTTATTGCTTCACGGATATTATTCTCCATAAAATCTCAAACAACCACGTTTATAACGACGAAACGAGCGGCTCCCCGGCAAGGCGGGGCGCCTGTAGACTATACGAGGCACTGAGAGACAGGAATCACAGATTGACAGAGCTTAGAAGATAGACGGACATCAATAGAGGAAGCTGGAGGGGGGAGGGCGGGGAGAGGGCGCGGGTCGAGCAAGGCGGGGATGGAAAGCTCCCAGAGCCGCTTCGTTGGTCGACGAGGGGCGCTCCTCTCTCACGCGTAGCTGCGGCAGCCGCCACGCTGCACACGCTGACGTCAGTGCGTGCCGGTTCAGCACCCAATACGCCACCGCGTTCAGCGCAGAGTGCGCATACCCCAGCAGCAGCGCGAAGTGCGCCAGTAGGAATGGCACGTGCAAGCCAAACGCACTAGCTATCACTATGGCAGCGTGTGGACACCAGCACATGGCGAATATCGCCGCAATCCCCATGAGCACGTTGCCGAGCCGCCGCCGGGAGCGGAGTGTCGAAGTCTGAGGTTGTGGTCCAAGGAGGCTCGGTTGGAGTTTCTTCTTGGATCTGACGTCACCCACGTCAACGGCGTCTCGACGTTCTCTTGGTCCTACGCCGGCGACGATAATGACGTGTGTGGGTCTTCTCATTAGAGGTACGGGGAGTGGTAGTTCCCCGTGTGCTGCTCTAGCAGTTAGTGACAGAGCGGTCAGTTTGACTCTCACTGCCCAGTGACACTTTGCTACAGCTAGTACTGGGAAGCAGTATGTAACGAGTGCATGCGCCGCGGCCAGTGGCGGACACGATACGCACGTCGTTGTGAATGCTGCTGCACCTGGGGAGATAGAATAATCCAGTAACTATTGTGTTTGGAATGAACTGAATGCTAACAAATTGATATCATACATTTGTGATACAGAACATGATAGATTGATAGAATGATTGATCAGATATTGTTATAGTACATGTAAATAAATTGATTAATGAAGATGAAACAGATGAAGACATAAAAAGGATTGTACGTAGGACCCGCGTTCATGAATTTCAAATAAAAGCAGTAAAACAAGGCAATAAAAATATTTACTACAAGATTACAACGGCCCTATCGTTCAGTTACGGAACCCATTTTGGGTGCAGTAATGTATTTACTGACACCGGGTCACATAACTCTTTTATTGTTGTTTACATGGTTCTATTAATAGTTCTTTTTGTTTAGATCTGTGTAGAGAACTGTGTATTTAGACATTATTTTCGTAAAATTATACTCTATCAAAGTAATTTCTTATGAAAACCATTAAATATTTGATAGAAATTGATCGTTATAATTCTCCTGTTTTGTCATTCTTTCTTTTGTTTCTATTTGTAGTTTGTCGTATATTATGTCTCGCCTAACTTAAGTCACCAAATCCCCTCATTCATCATCAGGAACAACAACATCTTTAACAGTCCCTTGTCTAATGAAGATGAAGTGGACTGTCAAAAATGTCAATGCTCCAATGCAGAAGAGGTCAAGAACAAGAAGAAAACAGAGGAGTTTTGAAGCCTAACATTTACTATATGTAATAAATATGTAAAAAAATGTTAACCAAAATTTAATTTATAGTAAGCTGGTGACACCCCTAAAATTTGCAACGCCTGAAAAAGGCCGTTAAGCTGTGCCTGTTTTTTTTCATAAGACCTGTATGTATTACCTTAACATGCAATAAAGAGTTTGAGTTTGAGTTTGAGTTTGAGTTTATTTATTAACTTTTTACTTAAGAAAAGAGCTTAAAGACTTACTAAGCAAAAGTGCTATGATCCACACGGCGATGACTGCTAGATGCGGGCGCGCACAGAGTGACGTGCCCCCTCTCCTCACCGCCCCGCATCGGTCTGCTGCTATCGCCACCAGGGATAGTGTGCTCGCAGCCACGGGGAATGACTGTGGACAAAGAAGGATAGCTTAAGTAATTCACTCCGTAATTTTTATTATTAAAATACTTAATAATACACACACATACATTTTTGCATATAAAATATTAGTAAGATTTGGTTTTTGACATTTAAGTATGTCTCATGTTTATGTTTTTAACAATTCAATTATTGATGCAATGACAATGGAATTTAAGTAGCTAAGTAGTTACATGGGACCTAGAATATATCTTTATTGCTCCCACAATTGAAAGATAACTAGTAATGATGCAGTCAATCATATATTTATTTGTAACAAGAGCTCATTGTTTACAATTGATTATTATTACCTCAATATAATAAGTAACTTGACAGGGTAGCTCATCTATCCTGGCCGCGCGGGTCGCAGCTAGGGGTGCGCTGGCGGCGCACACGAGAAAGTCGGCTGCGCATGCGCTCAGCATCTGTGGAGTTCGCAGTCTAGACGCCCCGCCTGACGCAAGCGCAGCCATTAAGCTCACATTTCCTGTGTGAAGAAAGCACATACTCAAAAGTAATTTTTTGAAGTTGAATTTTATATGAACATGTTCTCTTATTTCCATATAAGATATCCCTAAAGATTCTCACTATATGTATCTGTATCGCACTATTCTTCCCGATTCTAGAATTTAAATAAAGTATTATAAGTAATATCAGTTCTAGAAAAATCAGAAATATTCACTCATTTTAAGTAAAACTCCGAGTTTCTACGAAATGTAGATGAAAAGCATAACAGCAGTAAAATGAACTAAGCAGTAAAATTAAATAAAAACCTTATACGAGAGAACTCTCCATATTTTATACTTCATTTTAAAAAGCACCTGGTATTTTGCTATTGGAAAATTTTAAGATCAAAGAATATCTATTTTCAAATATTGGTTTATCTTACTAAGTATACGTTTGGAGGATACATTAAAATATTAAACAACGAAAGAGAAGGATTACCAACCAAACGAATGGTAAAATCAGACTTATATTTTACCGGGAAATATTTGTAGAATCTAATTGCAGACCTGTCATGGACGAACGACTACCGTCTCATTAGGAAAGGTTAAATGAATTTTCATACTATGTGGACCTTTATCTTAATTTCCTGCGCTATATGCGCTTACTGTAGTTACTGTAGTACTAAAGTAACGACTGAGTACAAGTATGAGGCGTGGGGACATGAAAACATCTAATAAGGACCTAAGAGAAGCACTTTATGATAAAACTAAATGTATTAAACCGCTGTCTCCAAACCTAGCCTAGCGTACAATGGTCACGTCTCATATAGCGGAGGAACCTATGAACTTCTACTCCTGGTCTATGACTGGTGGTCTGGCCTGGTCTATGTGGATGGTATAACGTCATACAACATACCTATAATACCTATGATGGACACGAGCACGTAGAGCGCGACGAGTGCCGCGAGCGTCGTCTCCTCCGCCGCGTCGCGGTCCGCATCGCTCGAGTTACTGTACATCACGCAGCATGGCTAGCCTCTGTAACAAACAGACCAACAAGAATATAAATAACTTAAGTTGGTACTTATGTTAATTAGGTACAATAATTATTGTAACTGCCGCTTCCATACGAAGTAGTTCTCTGCAAATTGGTTTCTGGGTCAGGGTTGGTTGTATAATTATGCGAATATGAATGTTTGTTAATACACCTGGATATATGGAAATTCATACTGGAGGAAATCGTAGTGCCCACACTAGGGCGATGTGCAACGCGTTATTATTACAACCTCCTCCGAAGGTGTCTCAGAAAATGTTAATAATCAAACATTTTCTTACGATATAAAACACTCCTGCGTTTTGTGTTGTAGATAATTGTGCACACAGCTACACATAGAGCTTTACATAACCAGTATAAACTGAACTTTAAATGTGCGGAAAGATGATGCGACGCGACACCAGGATAAACTGGTTTTGTATAGATTGATGTGTGGCCGTGTGTACGTAGACTATGGTCCCCACTTACCATGAGGCAGGCTATAAACATTGTTGCTACCAATATTAGTACAAAAATATATATGAGCCTAGAAAAACTGGCCAGATAAAGAAAAGGTTCACTAGTAATACTAAAAAAATGCTTTGTCAGCAAGGAAATGTGAAATATTTTATGTGGGTCACAATATATGCGATACATTTTGCCGTCAGTTCTTACTAGAACATTTTGTCAGTTTACTATAGACGTGTGATACAAACGAACCGATAAATTGGTATGGACCTTTTGTGAGGCTTACAAGTAATGGAAGTTGTCAGGTTCTTCGTACATAATATTTTTTTAGATAAAAGGATTATGATATTTTTACTACCACTTTTTACTTTTTCGTAGGTGTGGATACGTTTATTGTGCTACTGTTATTATGAATGCGCGCTTTTGCGATAACCTTTTTTTTATATGAGTGGAAAATCATTGAATGACTTCTCCCACCTGGGTGAGGCGGGAGGGAGTGTCAGACTGTTACTGACTAAAAACCACCCCGTTCCTACTCCTGCACTTCGAGCCGGAGCCCCGGCAACCCGTTAAGTCTTCCGCAGCTCCGTATCGGCATCAGCCCTGTTGGGCTCCATCTGTGGTAGTCTGTTGGCTTCTTGGCATACTCTACGCTCGCGCCTGGTTCTGTTCGGGCGGCGAGTCACCCATCCTCGCCGTCCACAGGCCCGTGAACAGAACTATACGTAAGCACGGCTGTAAATTCTACTCAATTTGAATTTTTTTAAGTACAATAGGTAGTTTAGTTTAAAAAATAGATCTAAACATTTACATGACCGTCTGTTATCTGTCAGTTATATCTAAACAAATGAGTTTGTAATAAACCGCTAAGCTATCAAGTTCAGCCCGAGTAATCCGACAATAAAAAAAAACAATTCTTTGTCTGTTATTACAATTGAATGGCGTCTAGACGGACATATTGAGTTCTGAGATTACTTGCAAACGATTTTTTACATGATAACTGCGTCCCAGGCTAATATTGTCCATAGTACTGACTGATTTGCACCGAACAAGTACCAAAGCTCAAATATGTAACTAAATAAATGGATCTTAGACTTTGATTCTTAAGTTGGGTAAAAATTTAATGTATAGAATTGTAGCTAAAGTGAAAATTTCTAATTTGAAACAAACAAAATAGGTACATATCACAGTATGTAAGTTTTTTCAGTTTTTTCAACATAAATTATTGAGCTTCAACTTAACCTAACGGGTTCCCGGGGCTCCGGCTCAAAGTTGGAGTTGGAACGGAGTGGTTTTAGTCAGTAAGAGTCTGTGTCTCCCTCACCTCAACTAAGACGAGAGAAAGAAAAAAAAGCATTAGAAAAAGCTAGTGGCACCGACTTTTAACCTTTCAGTGGATGGTTGATCTGTGTCCATAAATGACTAATAATAGTTATTTTTTGCTTTTTAGTTAATACTTTTGGCTTGTTTTTAGTGTTTGGTTTTTGAAATCCGTTTTTTTTGTAATGCAGTTTTTTAATATTCAACTTGGGTACAAACTTCCAAAAAGAAAGGACTTTTCATTCGTTCCATTATTCTTAACTTGTTATGTTATTTTTTTTGTACGAATTATAAAAACATTTTCCCTTGGGGCAGCTAAACATTCGGGGTCTTGTTGTTATATTATTTTTAAGCCCAACAGCGTCTGTTTGTCTATCCAAATTAAAAACGTGTAAAAAATGTAATAAAAACAACACAAAGATTTTTTTAATGAAACAGGCTTCGTTATATATTTTACATTGTTTTTCATTTCACATTTTTCTGTCCCATCTAACACATGTTGGGTCAAAATTATAAAAAAATTGCTCCGCCGCGACAGTGCATCACTGCCGTGACCAGGATTCGAACCTGGGTTACTACGGCCACAACGTAGGGTCCTAACCACTAGACGATCACGGCTACCGGAGCTGGTGTTAACACCTCTCAATTTCGCGACTGGTTTGCGACTCAAATTTAAAGGTACCAAATTAGAAAGTGGCTTCCAAACGGCGTTTTTTATTGATCAGGTTTACTTCTTAAATTGGTCGGTTAACGCAAAGTGGAGCACTTTCTCTTCATGCGTCAGTTTACCATGTAATTGCTGTAGCAATCACGCTAGCAAATAATTATGTATTAAGTTTGTGTTCAAAGTAAATTAATATTGCGGGTACAGTTGATAGGATACAATATTAATAATGTTACGTCATTTACATTGCGGTGTTTTGGCTAAATTCCAATTAATTGAAGCGATGAGGATAATGTTGTAATTATTATAATAATGTCGTGTGATTATAATTATTAAGAAAACTAGTAATTGCCTGTGACTTTGTCCACATAGAATTTTGACTTTGGATAGTTCTTCACAGCTCCTCCCCGTAGATGATAGCGTGATAATATGTAGCCAGTATGTTGATCCGACCCGTTAGTAATATTCATTCAAGAAGTAATTACGCACTACTCTTTCAGTTTAGACTGGACATACAGACAAACAGAAAAAAAAATTTAAAAACTATATTTTTGGTTTTGATATTGATTGGAGATCACGCCCCAAGTATTATTTTTTAAAAATGTTCTATGTACAGTTTTGACCTTTTATTATGTAGGTAGGTAAGTATGTATAGATACGTATATAATGCTATACCAGCCTTATAGAACATTAATTATAATATTGCTTGTTACGTGAACGTGCGTCACTCTAATTAATTCGGCCGCTCATTAAAAGATTACTTATTGACATTTTTACCTTTTAAGAATCCAGTCTTCAGCCATATAATACGGTATTTGACAACTAGTAAAATTCCATACTTTTTCGACCTGTCAAAAACGATAGTTTTCTTTGAATTTTGTGCGAGATTGTGAATTGTGACGTCACGTTGTTTTAGCGTCAAACAGCATACTTAATTTTTTTTATTTGCTAGAAAAATACTAAAATTAAGTTGGTCATAAAATCAATTATTAGAGTAGTCAGTTAGGAAATATCGACCCTATCGTTCGCTTGATAAAATTGACGTTTAAAAGTGCTGCCTTGTAGCCTATTTGCATAAATAGATTCACTTGTTTCACTTATTAAAAGTGTGATTATTTTTTAATATTTTATTGTATTCAACAGTAGAAATAATTTATTTTTGATTAATTAAAGTACCCAGTTGTTAAACTCACAATCGAACAACTTTTATACCTAGTCTTGGCCTTCATAAAATCCTAAACTGTACCAGCTGTACCTACACTGTTATCAGTCTTAACAAATACTGAAACGCCAATTATAAGTCGCGCTAAAATACCTGTAGTTCTGTCACTACATATTATTTGTAAAATATCAGCGATGGCACGATATTGAAGTACAGTTTAAAATGGAGTAACCTTTCAGTATTCAGGCGTAACATAGAACAACCAAAATAGGTACCTCTTCTCATAATAATCATACAATCGAAAAACGGTAATTTAATTTATCAATTTCCATATCAGACCAACCGTATTTATCTCGTTCCGGCCGATCCGAACCGTAATCATTGGGATACCGGAATCAATATATTGAATTATATTCTCCCCATCCGAAATGTTCCACTTTTAAAATTATTACCAAAATTTAAATTTTTCTCATACGTAGACCGATTTTCGTTTATAGATTTAACTGTCGCTGTAAAATGTGTCTCGTTTTCATTGTGACTGTAGTTTTAATTATTATCTACAGTATGAATCAATTTTTTTATATGTAATGCTTTGCGGAACATTTTCGATTATTTATTCTGTTATTCGGTATACTAACATATTTTCATCATTGGCTTGATTCACGGCTCGGTACTAAAACAATCAAAATCGTATAACCCAAGTCTTTGATTGACATCTATACAACATGTAACTTAAATAACGCACATCCTGAAAATAGTTTGTTTATAATCGTTAACTGAATCGATTTATATAATTTTTAGTATAGGTAATTTTTTATCCCAAAAATAATTAAAACTACGGAAATTATTGTCATATTAACCCTGTATTGTTAAAACAAATCAAAATGGACCGTAAGTCAAAGCAATAAGACTTTTAAAATCGCAGTTTTATTTGTATTTATACAAATTCTATCATTCAATACAAAATAAAGAAAAATAAACCTTACAACAAGACCAATAAGGATGCATATACATGTTAAATTAAAAATTTAGTGTATGTATTATGATTATAACATAATATTCTAATTGCGGTGTTTGAGGGGGGCGTAAATAACGTGACATGTTGTTGTATATATAACAAAAGTCGTGTTAGTTACACCACTTATAACTCAAGAACGCCAGAACAGATTTGGCTGGAAATTGTAAAAGCTTAGAGCCAGGAGACGGACATAGGATACTTTCTATACAATATTATTATTTTTTTACTTTTTACTGAAAATCACTAACGGGAACGGGAATAAACGGGATTCCGCGTACGAAGTCGCGGGCAGAAGTTAGTAGTAGAATAAGAAACTGAAATACGTATGGTCTACACATAATGTAACACTAACATTATAAAGGTAAAAGTTTGT